CCGGCAGGGCAACCAGCAGCGCGCCGCGGCCTACAGCGAAGCACGCACAAACCCATCAAACACCACTTGTGACTTTAGTTCTGGGAGAACAGAAACACAGAAAAGAGAGCAGCAAGAGCAAACCGTCGGCACGGACAGGGCATGTGGCCACCCACACACACGCACACGATGGGAGTGACCGCAGCCAAGCACAGGCCCATGCAGATGCAGGCGCACACGGACATGCACGGCGACCCGCGTGGCAGCAACCTCCACCGCGAAAAGGCACCCGCAGCCCACATAGCCAAAACCAGGGGCCACGCAACTACACGCGAAAATCACCAGGGGACGAACGGCGCACAGCTATCGCGCCGTCGCTCGTCGACGGTCACTCGGACTCAAAAATGCAACGCAACTGGTGGTCTCGCAGCACCGGCACCAGCAGGGCGGACTTACAGGACTTTCTTTATATTTTGGTGTGAGAGTGGTTTACGTGCACGTGCTGTGTTGGTTTTTTTGGCGAAGCACAACCGTCTATCTGTGTGTTGTGTTGGAGCTCTGCCAGTTGTAGGCATCCGAGGTGAGTTACTGTTTGGGTGGCGCCCGTGCCTTGGTATTCGAACAAGTCAGCGGACATCACTAAGCGGCTTTACGCCTTGGTTATTTGCAATATTGTAGTGTTATGGTGTTTTTGCCTGTAGCTGCAAGACTAAGATTTTGTTTTGCAAAAGTTTGAACGCCAGTGCTGTTGTGTAGATTGGATGGGCGTGCTTAGAAGAGCGTGGGGTGGAATCGTATCAGCGTCTTTGGCATGGCCGGATGAAGCTAAATGATGGGAGTTTCCAAGTGTAGAATAACCTAAGAGTGCGAGTGCAGTGAGGCCAGTGCCTGAAAGTTTGGTTTTGATGACGGTGTTAAAGAACGGCTGGCGAAGCTTAATGCCATATAAGAAGGTCTATGGGGTCCTGAGAGTCATGTGGGCTCTCGAGGCGCAACGTTTGCTCTATATTTTTTGTTGCAGAGCTTTGTGGAGAAACACTCGGAGTACCGGCATTGACCCGTTTTGGAAAAATAACTAGGTAGCGGTTCGCAAGAGCACATGTCAGTGGATTGGGTCGCAGGAGGTGAAGAAGGTCATACAAAGCTAGTTTGAATTCAGGAGATGGCTGAGTGGGCGCCCGTGCTACGTCATCGGCGTTCTAGGTTACTGAATCAAAGCGCCGTCTCTTCGACTCCAGGTTGTGTTCCGTTTTTTTGTTTTATACCAACTCACTCGAGTCCGACCCTGCTAGTAGCGTGAGAGAGCTTTGATATCTGGGCCTGTTATTCCCATGGATGAGGGCTTGTCTTGGAGATGCCGTAGTCGGTAGAATAATTCGCACACCTCTCTGAAACCCGCAGGCACAAATAAGCGGACCTGAGGTTGTGAATACAAGATGCTCAGGGCGCGACCAATAGGCTCGACGGAAATCTTAGCAAGACTTTCCGGCCCATTAAGAAGGCAGAGAGGAAGCATGCAGCCCGCCCCAAGGCCAAGGGAAAGCCTACCGATGCGGTCGTACCCGGCTCTGCGGCAAGCGTGCCGCGCGGCTGTGGAGGTTGAGGCGTATACCCGAAAAGGTAACATACAGTCCGAAACTAGCAATGACTTCAGGGCCTCCACCCTGCGAGATTTGTTGGCGGGGCTTGGCTCCAAGCGAGTAGTCCCTGCTCCCGGGCAGTTTGCAGATGCGGTAGGAGCACCCCCCCCCCAAAAAAAAAAAAGAGAAGAGACTTAGCAGCCTACGCTGGCACAGTTTTTTATAACTGTAAATAAATCCGGCGTGACAAAGATGTTGTCCTCAAGCAAAGGCGTCCGCAAACTACAGTGAGGTTCCCTGCGCGTCGCCCAACCAACCGCTCACCGCATCCCTAGCAGGAGGAGGGGGGGGGGGGTGCACTGTATGGCGCGGCGCATTTGGCCCGCCTAACGTGGGGGCAAGCAGGCCCACCACTCGGGGCTCTACAATATTGCGGTGCGAATCGGTTGGGGGGTTCGGGAGACAAGTTTTAACATTTTTTTTTACTATCAGTTTGCGCCCGTCTTGATATTAATGGGCAGCTTGCGCAAGCGGCGGCGGCGGCTCCTACTAAGTAGGCGCTCCCAATGACAACGTGGGAATTGAACGCCCTTGGCGCCACCAAACCCCCGAATGAAGCCAAGTTTTTTTTTTTTTTTGGGTCGGATTAAGTCGCCGCCACCCAAGGAAGCACTCCCGGCACAGCCCGAACGGACATTTTTTTTTAGCACCCCCACGATGCAAGAGTCACGATGGCAGACCAGAGGGTCTCTTCGAAGATGTTCTGGGGCCCCAAGCGGGGGGGAGCGGGAGAGAAAGAAATAACCACAGGGTGTGCTGGTGTCGCTGGAAAGGTTGCGCGCAATCACTAAAGGGGGCAGGAGGAAACAACAAGCCAGCGGCCCTCACAGCAAAGCTGTGGTCGGACATGCCCTCCAAACGACGGAGTTACCGAGCGCTTGGCGAGCGAGAGGCGCTGGCTCGCGAGGCGGCGGTGGCGGTCTGCAGGATCTAAGTTCTCGTTTGCGAACCAGGCTGGGGAAGCCAGCGGGCGTTGTATAGCTCCCTTGTGGTGTGGCGTGGCGTGGCGTTTTGGTCTAAGTGGTCGCTTCCAGCGACAGCATTGCAACATCGACGCTGTTGGCGTGAGGGGGTTGGCGTGGTGGGTGGCGGCGCCGTGGGCTCCATAGACGCCAAGAAAGGAAGCTACGCGACTGTTTTCCAGGGCGACAGTGTTTCGCGACCTGCGCATTGTGCTTGCGCGGTTGCGCGGGAGAAGGGACACTTCCCCCCTGAAGTGGTGGATTGGCGTCGGCGCTTTGCCCTTTACATTGGCCAGGCGGAAGGTAAAGACAGCAGTTCGCGGCCGCCACGGCGAAGCGTGGGCGTTCACGTGGCGACCAGGAGCCTCCCTCGAACGCGAGCAGGGGTTAGAACAGAAACAAAAGGCCGCTTCTGGAGCAAAAAGCGCCGTCGGCGCAGCTGAAAAAAGAGATGGGCGCCTCTGGGCCATATTTTCCCGGCGCCCCGGTGCGGCGCCGGAGGGAACCGCGTCGTGCTTTGTTTTGACGGCGTTTTTCTTGCTGGTGGCACTGCCGTGGAATGCGCTTGTCAGCTTCAAGCGTGGCGCGAAAGCGGGTGGTGGGTGGCGCATTTGCGGTCCCGCAATTTTGCACAGGGTTGTGGGGGTGCTTGCGGGACTCCCCGGGCACGGCGCGCTCCGCCGATTCGCCTTCGAATTGGCGGGGTCTGAATCATCGAGGCGCGTGAGGGTGTGGAAATGCGTGGGGCGAACCGGGCGTTTGTAGCAGATCCCCGCGAGGTGTCGCGGCGGGGGAAGCGGGCCTGCCGAAGGATCCTGAATTGATTTTAATTACGCGCGGCGGTGGGGCGGGGGCGGACGAAGTTCGCGACACCACGGCAAGCACGGTGTGGGCGCTGCGTGTCCGAGCGGAAGGCGGCGCGGGACGCTGGGCTTGGGGGAGGGAGACGCAAACGGAAGGCTAGAAGGCGCCTTTGGTACCGCCTTTTGGTTGACAATTTGCGGTTATAAATTAGAGGCCGCGCTGCGGGTGCCGCGGTAGTGCTGAATCCATTAACATGTTAAAAAAAAAAAAAAAAAACGGTAGGTGGCTCTTCGGTTGGTACGCTGCCGCCTGCCTCTTTGGGCCGGCGCCCAGCCTTTTCGAGGACCTGCTGGGCCCTCTTCTGGTGATCGTGGCGTCCCCGGCGGAAAAGCGGCCCCCCGTGAGGCGCGGCGAGTGGGGGGGGGGGGGGGGGGCGGCAGACGGGCAGGGTTTTCGGGCGCGCGTTTTATTGGATCGAGGTTCTGCCGAGTGGCCGAGGCGATGTCGTAGGTGGGCGCCGAAGTCGGGGTCGCACACGCTTTCCTCGGCCAGTTGCGGCGCCTCTGATTCGCGCCTCGGGGTGCTAGCTAATATCTGGTTTTGTGCTGGGGTGGGCCGTTTTCTTGGTGGGGCTGGGCGCACAGTAGAAGCAGCGTTGCGCGCCATTTTTGTTTTTGCGCGTTTTTTGTTTGTTTTTGGCCAGCTCCAGGAGGCGGCAATCTTTGCTTTACTTTCTGCGTTTATGTTGTTGTAGGGCCACCGTGGGCGATAAGGGCCCCTGATGAATGATGGAGAAAAAACTGAGAATAAATGAAATATCTACGTATATGTGTTTCTTTCTTTCTTCCTTATTATTGTTTTGGCATTAACTGTTCTTGACGTTTTTTTTTTTTTCAGTGTTGAACGTTTTGTTGGGGTGACCGACTTCACCAGTGGATTGTTTTGTTTAAATAGATGACAAATTCTTTTTGGAAAAAAAATTAAATATATTCTTTTGCAGCTGGATATTTTTGACGCTAGCTTTTACGAAGCAAAATTCGTCACATATACAGCGTTGCCTTCACTCAAAACAATCCACTTTTGTTGATTTTTTTAAAACAACTTTTTACATACATCAATATATTGCATTTTTTTCATTTAAATTAAGAAAACATTTTTTTTTGTTTTAATTGCGCGAGCTCCGGTTGTTCGAATTTTTTTATATTCTCAATGACAACATTACTTTGATGATTGTTAACTGGTGAAATTATATTTACTAACAAAAAAAAGTGGTATTGTTAACGCCAAGCTTTCAAACTTTACTTACTGATCTTTTTCTGAATTACTAAAAATCAATCTGAAGAAAGGGTGATTTTTTTATTGCAAACTTTGCTCTCTTTACTTTTTTCGCCCTTAGACCACCAGACAAATGGTGGAAATTATGGGTATTCTTGAAGATGGGATTTTTTTAAAAAAAAACTATCCATTCAACTGTAGAGGATATA